CTGAATTTCGTACAATAATCCGCCAAATACAAAACTTTGTCATGTCGGTATAACGAAAGTTTTGAAATTATGTTTTCACTCTGGTAACAGCCGGTTTACTTCATCTGCTGCATGATGGTACCTGTTGTAAAACCCAAACATACACTGTTCTTGCCTTTCAAACCAACTTAATATTATTTGTTCTGTACTATATTGAACGTCTCTCAATTCTTTGTAGAACGCCAAATTGAGTCGAGATCTTCTGCTTGGCAGTAACTTCGCTGGAGAAAAACCATTCAATCTAGTAATTCAAGGATTATTTAATGAAAAAAGTAAAACAAATCTGTTCCAAGTAAGTGGTGCAATTTTTTAATTTCGTTCATAAATGTAGTCCCATTCGGGAACCATTGGTCTCAAATTGTTTTTAAAAATCCTTGTTTAGGGAATCTGGAGAATTCCTCTGGACGAGGTTGATAGGTAGGTCTTGGAAAACCTAAACAAAACTAACTTTATTTATACTTGATAGTTCTATCAGTTCTAAACTGTTCTTCCTAGCTAGAGGTTCAGTAAGGATCATCTCTTATTGATCCAGTGTTACTACAGGAAGAAACGGAAACTAATTAACTAACTTTATTTATACTTGATAAGTTCTATCATTTGTGAACTGTTCTCTCTAGAGGTCCAGTAAGGATTATTCCTCGTTGATCGAGTGTTACTACAGGAGAAACCCTAACTATATCAGTTCTGAATTGTGTTTCCTAGAGGTCCACTGAGGTTGTAAGTAATTGATTCAGTGTTACCACGGGAGAAAACTGAAGAATTCTGAGAAAACTGTGATGTTTGGTAGAGCCAAACTGTAAACACTCTTTTAACATTTCAACTGAAATGAAATTATAATCAGACAACTGCACATTTTAAAGGCACAGTTCAGCCTTTTGAATGATGGTTTTTAAGGCACATTTTAGCCCTTTTAATTGAAAAAACTAACTAGGATGTTTTTGACGATAAAAATGTTTTAAAATGTTAAAAACATTAAGTTTGCTGATCTTGAATTATGCTTAATTGATTTTCCTAGTTGGTTTTTTCAATTAAAAGGGCTGAAATACGCCTTAAAAACCATCATTTAAAAGGCTGAATGGCAAATGCAGTGAATCATTGCGTGAGAAAGTACAGTAACATGCACCTCCTCATTCTACACAATCTTATTCCAGACCCGGCAGTTTTTGTACTCATATGTACAAATCTGTTAAACTGTTGATCGATGTCCTGGGTGAACTGCAAGAATGGGACTCTCTGCTTCTTGTCGCTTCTCTCATGTACAGAAGTCCTGATAGCGGAAAGTAAGTGAACGAGAATAGGCGTGCTTCCACTTCGCACTGCTTTACACCATTTCATTTTCCTTGATTAAAGAATGCTTTGGTTGTAGAGTGACATAGGGCTGTTCCTATGAGCCGGGTTATCCCGGGTATCCTGGATGAATCATGTCACGAAAATTCTTTCCTGACCAGAAACAATCGTTTGAGTGAACTTGAACGGTGCTAAACACTGAGCCAGTTCCCTCAAACGTTTCATACAAATCCTTAAAAATGTACCTATGCAAAATTCCTATTGTGATCACAGAAACTTTGATAGTGTAAACCAGTTTACAGACATAGCTTGTGACAGTGCACTTTTTCAAAGACATAATTTTAATTTATTTATGGCAATATTTGATGACGACGATCACAGAATCTTTGATGTTGTGGAAATGTTTTTAGGATTTAAAATTTATTATAAAGTTGATTTCTACAGTTTGCTTTTCTTTTTGTAGAAAATATCTAAGGGATAATGAACGTCTGCAGCTTGCATCAAAGGTAACCGAAAACTAAATTTATTTTTTATTAAATAATATTGTGAATCGTATTGATTGGGATGCAATGTTCTGTCGACAGGCCTTTACTCTTGCGTTGCAACTGTTGAATGGACGTTTGGAAGAATGTAAAAAGGTATTATTTGAAAGTTTCAGTACATTCTCTTCATTTGTATGATGTATATCACAGACACAGTGGTAACCTGACGCCCACCTGACTCTAACCTCTCCTAACCCTTCACCTTGGGGAGGATGAAAATCTACCCACTCCGGCTCGACCTACCTTCCTCCATTGAGGTATTACCGTATGATGATATATATCATAAAAATGAAGACACCATGTTGAACGTTTTCAATCTAATATCGCTTACATCAAAAGCAAAGTTCCCATGCAATGAATTCTGTTTCTTGTCCAGCTTCCAAAGCCAAGTGCGTTTGCAACAACTTTACTGACAGACGCGTACGAAGCGTACAAGTGTTCTCAAAAAGTTCAGAAATATGGAGAGGTTTGTAATGAATATATCACAAAGTTTGCTGTCCTGTGAGTTCTTATTGTTGTGCTGTACTGTATGGTACCGTGCTGTGATGGCTTTCCATAATATGTCTCTCTTCTATATCATTCACAGGAGACAGAGAAACTCATGGTTGAAGTGTTTGAACTTTCCGACTTACGAAAGGTTGATAGCACGCCACCGGATGAGGGAAGAAGAAGTGAAAGTTCGGTCGTAGATGAAATTCTGAAATATTTTCAGCAACAATCAACTCAATCGAAACCCCAGGTATGCGAATTTGGTTTTCAAACTATTACTATATCATCATGCTATTCGTACCAAATTGCAACGAGCTTGTTGTTATCAACCTGGGGTGGGTTGTTCAAAGATGGGTTAGCGCTAACCCTGGGTTAAAATTAAACCTGCTGTTTTCGTTTGTGTATTTCTGCACGTCTGTTTATTTCAAAATTTCAGAGAAGAAAGATTTCCAAATTCTTAGACAAGCTGTCATGAAGTTTGCTTTGAATTTTAGGTTAACCTAGGGTTAAGCTAATCCATCTTTGAACAACCGGCCCCTGTTTGCAACTTGTTGCGTGCAGACGATATCAGACTTGCTGGGTTGCGATTCTGTTGGCCTCATCAACCTTGTTGCAAGATGATAACAACTTGTTCCAGAATTGTCAACAACTGGGAACAAGCAGTACGAACACATCTTGTTGACAAGTTGTGAGATTTGTATCCGTGTAAAAGACACGTTTCCTTTCGCTTTATACAGACTTCTGTGATTGACCACGATGAAAAGAGTACCACCACACAGCCAAAGCCCGGAGACAGTGTATCTATAAATAAACCTGACGTGTCATCAGCAATCAAAAACAATGATACAACGCAATCAAGCGATGGTCAAAAAATGACAGATGATGAAAACACGAAAAAGACATCTAGTAATGATCAAACTTCTCCCAAATCTGTTAGTGATCAAACGCTCATTTCTCCCAAATCTGTTAGTGATCAAACACTCACTTCTCCCAAGTTACCTCCATTAATTCCCGATGCAGAAAAAGTTGGCACAGAGAAAGAAAAATCATGATGTATCTATATTTATTCACATGTAATTAGTCTAATTATTGTAAAAATAAGGATTATTTGAAAACCGAATTGTTAGTGTGCAAATTTCTCAGCACAAAATTTTTTGATCACTTCAGCCTTAGATTGCTTCGAACCTGTCTTTAACTATTTTCTTTGCGCATCAAGATGAGATGATTACTTGGACTGACTTGTTCTTCAAAACTTGTGGCTTAAGCCTCGGTCAAATGAGGATGCATTGTTGCAGGGGGCATTTCAAGCTCTAGATTAACAAAATAAAGGTTTGATAAGTGTTCCAACTACACACGAAAAGATCTCTTACAACTTGTCGACAAGATGTGTTCGCAACAGGCTTGTAGCAAGCTTGTCAACAAGTTGTAACAATGGGCTAGTATTCCAAAGGTTGTAGGTTCGAATCCCACCGTGGCCGGGCATATTTTTCAAGCTCGCCCGGTGTGGATATGCACTCAGAGTAACATCGCAAACATAAGTTGTAACAATGCTGTTATTTTATCAAGATGCTACAAGGTTGTCACTCACAACTTGTTGAATTTCAGGACAATAACAAGTTGTTGGAACAACTTGTAACTAGTCAGCAACCTTGTATATATCAAGTTGTCAACAAGCCGTTACAATGCGAATACATCCTGTTGACAAGTTGTTGAAACAGCATTGCTACAAGTCTGCTGCAAGTTTGTTACAACTTGTGCGTTCTTACGTGTGTACACACGTAAAAATCGCACATATTGTAGCAAATCTGCCAAGAAGCTGTCAACAAGTTGTGTTCGCACTGCTTGTCCCAAGTTGTCAACAAGTTTAGAACAATAAGTTCTTTGAATGTTTGCATGGCGATAAAATATAATTGTTTTTGTTTGTGGAAACACCACGTAAATTTATTACTGCAAAGCTTTCGATCCGTAAGCCCGGATCTTCATCAGCACTATTATTATTTATTAGCACTGATGAAGATCCGGGCTTACGGATCGAAAGCTTTGCAGTAATAAATTTACGTGGTGTTTCCACAAACAAAAACAATTAAGTTTAGAACAAGCTGTTAACAACTTGTAACAACCTTGTTGATATTATCAGACTTGTTGCAAGCTTGTTCCAACAAGTCTGATACAGTCATGACAACAATATTGATACAACCTTGTGTCGTCAACCTTGTAACATTCTTGTTATATCATGACTGTATCAGACTCGTTATAACGACCTTGTAACAAGTCTGATAATGCCATCAAGCTTGTTACAAGTTGTTAACAGCTTGTTAGTGTTGGAAAAGTATTAAGAACAGCTAACCATGACATGACTGCCAAAGTCATTAACTTTTACATTTCAAGCTCGTGTGCAATCTGGGCAATTGCTAGATAGTATACTTCAAAATAAGGTTTCCGTTTTTATATCAATTTTTAAAATAAGTTAGGGTTAAGTTAGGGTTTAGGTTAGGGTTAGGTTGAGGTTAGGGTGAGGGTTAGTATTAGGGTTAGGGTTTAGTTTTGAGTTAGGATAGTTTTTTCTACGTTATAAAAACGGAAACCTTATTTTGAAGTATACTATCTAGCGATCACCGTGCAATCTGTGGGTGCAACACCGCAAATCGTTAAAATACGAAGTTAAATGACGTACCCAAGGTGTGTAGCGCAGGCTCGCTCTAACATGGTGTCTTACCAACATGCCGCCGAAGAAGAAGGGACAAGACCAAGGCAATAAAAAAACTGTTAACAAACAGAAAGAAAAGATTATTGAGGTATTTTTTCAAGTAGATTTATAATATATATTTTCAAGATTGTGGTAGTTCTTACACTGAGTCGCCACGGGCTGTAAATTAGTGCTGAAATAGTATCAAATATGTATGTGTTCAAAAAGTTATTAAAGGTATATTAATTTTATAATTACGTATGTATTAAAGCATGTTCATTCATTCAAATATTTTATATGTCCAGATATATACGTGTTTACTTTGTGGTTGTTGTACAATGCCATTTTATTGCTAGTGTTGTACAATAAAAACAAAATTTTGAACAATTTGAAAAAGTATAAGAAATGGCAAAAAATTATCATATGTTGCCCAGTTTTCGGACACAAGTATGACGGGTTCTAACGATCTCTAATCTGATCAGCCAATCACATTCAACTAGCTTTAAACTGAATGCCCAAGCTAATTGAGAAAATATGTATCAGAAAATATGTTAAACTCCGGTTATTTCATTACAATCCTCATAAAACTTCAGGCAAACTTTCAAGTCCCCCCCCCCTGAAAGGATTGGCCCTGTAATGACTGCACTTGTATGAGGGCCCCCTATTCCTCTTCATAATATGCTTTCACGTAAAAATATTTTGCCTTTTCACGAGTCACGGATTAAGAAAATCATCGATCACGTTTCACAGCTAAGTAAAATAAGCCCTTCACGCAAAAATTATAGGGGGCCCGATCACGTTTCACGGCTAAGTAAAATAAGCGCTTCATACAAAAAGTATAGGGGGCCCTCTTGTATGGTGCACAGCCTTTTATTTGATACTGGACTATTATAGACAGTGTTCGTATTTGCTGCCCACCAAACTGCTTGCCCTTTGATGTCCAGGGGACGGGTGTTCGAATTCAAACTTTCAAACTAACAGCATGTTCATAAATTTGGAAGTAGTTCTTCAGAAATCTTGTCTGGATCAGTAGGAGCTTTCTTCTCTGAAGTTTTGAAATAAACTGACATCCAGAAATACATAAACTATAAAACAGCAGGTTAAATTTTAACCCAGGGGTTAGCGCTAATTCAGCTTGGCAAAACTGCTGGCGCAGATAAAATCTATTCTTAAATATTTTGCAGGATAGGACATTTGGTTTGAAAAATAAGAAAGGCAAAAAACAGCAACAATATGTCAAGAATGTCACTCAACAGGTAAAACATTAGTGATTCATTTGCTATTCTCAGAGGTTCTCAAAAAATCATAACCTTCATGGTTCTTAAAAATTCTTCAGAATATTACCAGTCACATCCCAGAATTGAGTAAATGGCATTTCTGAGACACTAAATTTAATCCACCTCCCACCACCACCATTACCCCCACCACCATTACCCCCCACCACCACCATTACCACCACCACCATTACCCCCTCCCCAACACCCATCCCCTAGAGGGTCCTTTCCATCATCACTCATCCACATATACTTTTGTATTTTCCAGGTCAAGTTTGGAGGCAATGCTAGTGCCAGAAAGGTGAGGATCTATTTTTGTTTTAATTCTTGTCTATAATATGTTACCATACAGTTCTTGCTCTCTTACATTTTTATCTACTTTTCTTTATCTAGCTAGACACAGATTCCAAGGTATTATACAGTATGTTATGATAAGATTCATAAAACAACCTTTTCTATGTTGTAACTGAGTTAAATAGTTGTAGCAACTAGATGAAAATAAAAATATTCAGTATGTTCAGATGAGACCGGTACAAAGTCTCAATTTATTTCCCTTGCACGCCATTTTCTTTTTACAGTGCTTTTGTGAGCATGCATTGTGCTGAAGCCAAGCATACAGCAGAGACTGCTCTGGAATGTATTCATTTTTACATTCATCCCGCTCCAAATAGTTCTTTTGGTTCAGCATGTACAATGATTTCAGACCAGTCTGAGCAATTTTTCATCCCAATGTCATGTAAACATCTGTTATAAATAATACTCTGACTGAAATGAAATCGTCCTGGTTTGACTTTATCCCAGTCTCGTGTAAACGGGACCTGATTGGTCGAGTGTTACTAAAGGATGAACCTTGTGACAATCACACAACTACATATTTGTCATTTTTCAGAAAACGGAACAGGAAAAGAAAAAGAAGGAAACGGAAGAACTAAATCAGCTTTTTAAACCTGTGGCCACAAAACTGTCGAAAGATGCTGACCCAAAGTCGGTGGTATGTGCGTATTTCAAGCAGGGTCTGTGCGGGAAAGGCGACAAGTGCAAGTATTCACATGATCTTACCCTCGAAAGGAAGGGAGAAAAGAGGAGTTTATATGTTGACTCCAGGGATGACGAACTACAGAAAGGTAGCAAAAAATCATTTGGACTCTATTGGGTCATTCCAGAAAACATCCACACCTCCCCCACGGAGGAAATTAGGCGTGACCCCATATCCTCTACAGATGTCCTAATACACTTACTGTTATCAGAAACTAATTTTTCTCGCCTCCTGATGGCAGAAATTTCCTCCTTGGAGGCAGGGTGGATTTTTTCTGGAACGACCCAATACCAAAACTGCAGATGCTTTCTCTCACCTGAAAAACATGCCATGTTTTTGGGTAAAAGCATTTATGCATGTGACCACATTTCTATGAATGACGACGTCTGATTGGCTGCGAGGAATTATGCTGAGATTGGCTGATAATAGTCCGACATCCCAGCAGTGACAGGCGTGGAAATGTAGTTGCATTCTTCAATGTTTTGACATGAAAACATATCACAGTATTTTCGGGTTGTGAGGAGTCAAGGACGTATGCATAGTTTTAGTAATAACTGGGTTGTTGGAAGGTCTTAAAAGTGTCTAAACATGAAGATATTTTTCTGTTTCTTCTCACAGATACAATGGACACTTGGGATCAACAAAAATTGGAAGAAGTTGTAGAAAAGAAGCATGGCGAAAAAGATACAAAGAACACAACTGAAATTGTACGATTACGTTACACTCCAATGACTCCATCTCTTTTTGCCTCTGTTTATGGGAAGATTCAATCTGCTTTGTTTTTAGGTTGCAATAAAAGCCGTTCTTCTCTTATCGATCCAGTGTTATTACAGGAAGAAACCTAAACTAAACTATCTTTATTTGTACTGGTTCATCAGTCTTAAACTCTTTTCCCTAATGGTCCAGTAAGGGTCCTCTCGTATTTATTCATTGTCACCACAGGAGGAAACCAGAATAGCTTGCAGTGTTTAGAAGACTCAATAGACAACTTGCATGTTAGACTAATTTTTGATCTAGGCAAAAAAAGTAAATTCCCGTAAAGAACTTATTAAAATTAGTAAAATTGCAAAATTTGGTTACGAAATGTTGTAAAATACGGAAAATATAGCCTTGCGAAGTTTGCATATTTTGTATATGTTTGTATTACGTGCGGAAATTGTTACCATTTTTGAGCCGAAGCCATTATATATCTTGTCATTTCTCTTCTCAAGGTATGTAAATATTTCCTGGAAGCGATAGACAAAGGTTTATATGGTTGGTTTTGGACGTGTCCAAATGGTGGCGACAAATGCATCTATCGTCACGCCTTACCTCCTGGATTTGTCTTAAAGAAGAAAGAACAAAAGCAAGACAAAGATGAAATTTCGTTGGAGGAACTGATCGAAAAGCAGCGAGCAAAATTAGGAACGAATTTAACAAAGATTACTTTAGAAACGTTTACGACTTGGAAAAAAAGAAAGGTGGGTAGCAATATTGTATAGAGGTGATAGACAATTCCCATTATAGACTAATTTTAAAACTAGGCAAGGAGATGCAAATAAATCACCACAGCTAGAAAGAGCATACTAAAATGAGTAAAATTGCAAAGTTTGATTGCGAAATGTTGTAAAATGCGGAGAATATAGCCTTGCAAAGTTTGCAAATTTTCTACACTTTTGTATTGCGTGCGGAAATTCCTACCATTTTCGGCCCAAATGTGATAAAGAAGTAAACGTTTTTCACGTTGAGGCATCTTCTCAATTCTCTAAAGTCTTGTTTCTCCATCTATGTAGTTAAAAGAAAAGAAAGAGACGTACGAAAGCGAAACGAACAAAAAGAAGGAAGCATTTAAAATGGGACGAATTGTTGGAAAGGTACGGATATATTTCTCTTTGAAATATTTAGTTTTTCTTAGGAAAATTTTGATTAATCCTGGCGTTAGCTACAGTATTTTGATCTATATCTGAAACCTTTTGCTCATAGATAAGTGGAAGAGAAGTATTTCAGTTTAGTCCAGAGCTTGTTGCTGATGATGTCGATGATGAAGAAGAGTCCTTCGATATTACGCAATACAGACGAGAAGAGGTGAGGTGGGGGGTTAGGGGGGCAGTAGTCCCTATGAATTGTTTTGCAAGGAAAGTTACAACGGGTGTTGTTGTGCGTCTAGGATGACGATGAAGAAGCTGATGATACAAACGTGGTGGATATATCTCTAGATTCCTTCAATACCCTCGAATACAACGAAGCTGGCGCACCAACTACAAATAAGGAAACCACACAACAGGTTTGTCCAGTGTATTGATTAGCACTCGTATGTTGGCGAAAGGAACAGCACAAAGCAAGCAACTTAAAGATGCCCAGCTTTTTGTGGCAAGGCAACTTGCCCAACCGGGCAAGCAAGATAAAACGTTTACTTACCCGTCATGATATTCACTTGTCCCGGGCAAGTGTTAAGTTACACCTCTGATTGTGTATCTTGTGTGTTTGTTTAGGAAAAGAACATGGATGCAGACGGACTCGCTATGGCTTGCGCAGTCACGGCGGATGATACTGGGCAATCTGGACCAACTATAGACGGGATACCAGTCGATCAGAGTTTATTTGAAGATTTAGATGATCTGGATTTGGAAGATGATATGGTTGAATAAAATTCTCAGAACTCTAAAACTGTGGAACCATAAATTTCTCAGAAATATAAGCTGTCGAATACCATATAGGACATCGAATATAACACGCAAGCCGAATGAAGTAGAAATTGCTCACACATTAAATTACCCCACAACCCAGGCATTAACTGACGACTCGCTCCCTACACAAAAGTAGAAAAATGGATAGTATTCGCAATTGGATCAAGTGTATCGCTGTCTCGGCTGAAAACGTGGTTATTAAATGTAGAGTTTTTACTATCTTTAGTCTGCAAAGCAGGCGTTTGATTCGAAGCGCGTGGCAGTGGTATACTGTGTTCGTATTAATGAATTTCTGATACAAAGCACACATGTAAAAATCTCACAACTTGTCAACAAGATTTGTTCGCAACAGGCTTGTAGCAAGCTTGTCAACAAGGTGTAACAATGCTGTTATTTTATCAAGTTGCTGCAAGGCTGTCACTCGCAACTTGTTGGCAAATTGTTGAATTGCAGGACGATAACAAGTTGTTGGAACAACTTGTAAGACGTCTGTTGAGCTCAACAGCCTTGTAGCAAGTTATCAACAAGCTGGGAACAAGCCGTGCGAACACATCCTTTTGACAAGTTGTTGGAACAGCATTGCTACAAGTCTGCTGCAGGTTTGTTACAACTTGTGCGTTTTTACGCGTGTACATGGAAAACGGGGCATGTTTTGGGGGCTTTATAATAAAAACTGTTTGCTGTATTTGGTCTTTTTGAGATAAAGTGTGCTTATTTTTTAATCGACTATTTTTCTGCTTAGACTGAATATATCGCTCCAGTTATATTGAGCTCACTGGCGCTGCCGTCTCCTTGTTGCTAGGCAACACTAATTCTCCCCAGTCTTTGTTTACATCGCGACTTAGAATTTTTAGAAATTTCAAATTTGCAAAATACATTTTCTCAACTTTTTTTACTCTTTTTGACCGTAATATTTAAATAAATAATATTGTAGGAATGACTTCTCAACCAGGGAGACTGTCTTTATTGCGAAATATTCAAGACGCGCATAAAAAAGACATAAAAACTTATGTAAGTGGTCACCTCAATCTGAACAAATTGAACAAATTTCAAGAAAAATCCAGTCGTGAGACATGGCCTACTTCGCTAGGTGCACCAGTAAGGTATGTATAAAGTCACTTAATGCATATGCCATCGATACAGTTGTGATATAACAGTCGTGATATATATATATATATATATATTAAACAATACTGTTAGTTACATTCTTGTTATATCATAAGTTCATGACTGATGTCTTTATCGGACTTGTTAGAACAACCTTGTAACAAGTCTGATGCCATCAAGCTTGTTACAAGTTGTTAACAGCTTGTTCCAAACTTGTTCCAACAACTGGGAACAAGCAGTGCGAACACAACTTGTCGACAGCTTGTGAACAGATTTGTAACAATTTGTTTGCAGACATAAAACAATAAAAGTTATTCTGAATAAGCAGTGCATAATATTAACACACAATTTATTAAAACTATATTTCGAATCTAAATCAGATTAATCTTCAGGAGTGTTTTGCAAGATAGACCTGTAACAACTTTCCACATGTTCAGCCAGAGTTCGATCCACTTGAATAGACAAGTTCTAGATAGCAGCACTGATGAATTTTGTCCTAATTTGTAGAACCATAAACTTTTGCTAGACTGTTAAATGTGTGCTGTTCCTTTCAAACTTTTCCTCTCCAATAAAGGAATGAGCCTAGGATGGCAAAATTGCACGCAGAAGATCTTCGGTGTGCATGGCAAATTTAGCAGTCTTTGGTTGTTTGAATTTGTCAAAATCATTCCATTTCACACGTACCTTAGAGAACATAATAAAAATACCACTTTTCATTCATTTAAGGATGAAACCTTCGAGTCAGCCTGTACATCTGCCAGTCAGGAGAGGACAGTTAACACGAGAGCAACAAAAACATAAAGATATGCAAGACACTGTAAAAGAGTTTAGCTTTGGTGCCTTAGGTACTGTATGTTTCACTTTGCTTGTTGTATTGACTGCCCAGTCAATACAACAGTGTCTGGTGTGCAAATAATTTATATATTTGTGCCAAAATCAAGCTCGTTAATAATAAGGCGTAAAAAAAAACAGTGGTTCCGGTTTCATATCGTGAAAAAATTAGGGTCAGTAGGTCGGAAATAATGTTTTTTTTAATATTTTTTCATGGTTTTTTCAATAATTAGTGTGACAACAGACACCACCCGGAGAAAATAGGGTCGCATGGTCAATCGCATTGAAAAATAATAGGATCGGCAGAAAAAATAGGGTCGGTCGGGAACCGGAACCACACGTATTTTTTTTTACGTCTAATGTTCTGTATCTAGAGCTTAAGCAAGCTACGTTTTTGACAAGACAGACACCTACTGGAAGTCAATCGAGCTGTTATTGATGGCAACAGTTGTTCTTGTTTGAAATCACAAATGTGAAACAACACCATCATTCATCACCAGCCGTTGCCATCACTTGCCATTGCCCTCACCATCACGTGCCATCTGTAATGGCTCGATTGACTGTTGGTTCAGATATCCATGTTGTGAAAAGCATCACTTGCTTATTATCTCTGTAATATACTATTATGTAGGTCGTTATAGCGCTCATTCAACGAGCAATGATACAATGCAAGATTCAGCTGGTATCAGTCAGTCTCTGTCATCTGCTTCCCAATTGGTTAGAGAGAGAACTGAAACTGAGCTGGAGAAGCCTTGTCTTGTTGAAGAACTGAAACTACCTGATATAATGTTTTATGCTAGTGACAATGCTGGTAAGCCACCTTGTTTGAATAACAGAACAACTAACCAACCAAGACTCACTGACTGACTCAAGTTTAATCATACACGATGATGCCAGAAAAAAAATTAAATATGGCTTCTTCACTAAGCAGATTACTATTGCAGTTGGCTATGAGTTAGCTAATGACCTGTGAGTCTGCTTGGCACTCTCTATATCCGACATCCATAGGCGTACCGGGCAGGGGGGCGGGGGGGGCGGCAGCCCCCCCAGTTTTTTGAGCAGTCGGGCAATATTCGATCAACAGTCGGGCAATTTTGGCTTGCAATAAAAAAAAATGTGACAAATTCTGTAAATTTTGTCTAAAATTAAGTCAATTTTTGGCAAATTTAGTGATTTTTCGAAAATTTTGTGTATGTTCCGAAAAATATTGGTTGTCCGGAAAATTTTTTTGACCCCTAAAATGGTACGCTGACCGAAATTTTTTTGGCGACGGGGGGGGGAGGTCGCAAAAATTTTTGGTACTAGTCGGGCAAAATCCCGAAAAGTCGGGCAATTTTCTTTCCGCCCCCCTAATTTTTTCCTTCCGGTACGCCCATGCCGACATCCTGAGGACACATGTCGTACCCAGACTGTGCGCGGTTCCTATGATATTAACCTTGGTTACTAACTTACAGTAACCTCATGCAATGATGCAAATCAGTTAATAAATCAACTGATTTGCATCACTAACAATGAGTGTTTCATATTACATCACAAAGCTTTTCGCGCGGATAATATTTCGCGCAGTACTAAAATTTGCGCACCCAGCTCTGCGCGAATTCTAGTACTGCGCGAATTCTAGTACTGTGCGAATTCTAGTACTGCGCGAATTTAATACAAGTAAGGTATCTATACAGTATCAATGAAGCAAACCAATGGTTATTCTACCCCAGGATCACAAAAAGTCTCTTCAAGAAAGAACAAAGAACAGAAAACTCCCACCTGCAACAGAAAACGTGATTTCATCAAAAGTCATCTTGGTCATGTGACAAAAGGCGACCAATACGAAGCGATGAAAAATTTCGAAAGTAACGTCATGAATCTGCCTGACGCGAGCGATAAAGGACTGCTGACAGGCGACCGCGTTGTTCGAAAGCTCAGGAGACGCTTGAAAAAGGTGCGTGATAGACCAATCCATGTGCCCATGTCTTATTAGCATGCAGTGCGCACTTTTACTCAGGGTAGAGTAAAGTTAACTTGACGGTCTTTTTTTTTTTTATTATTATTATTAAATTGAAACCACATTGCAGCCAGAAGCTGAATTGTCTGGCAATGTCTCTCTACGATTATCTCCTTGTTAAAGCATTAACGAAAATATTGCTTCCAAATGCGCTTTACGTTATACTCGTTAAATGATCGCCAATCCCCTTTAACCAGTGGCGTAACGCTCATTGGTTAGGTATTATTTAGGTTGGAGTCTGGGACTGCACGCAGGCTAATAAGTTCATTGGCGAAGTAATTTTCAAGAAATACGTATAGGTTATTTTGAGGCAACAAGGGGATATGTGATTTATTCACCGAGGCGCGCAGCGCCGAGGTGAATAAACACATATCCCCGAGATGCCTCAAAATGACATACTTAGTTTCACATTGCGAGGTCGCGTTAAAGAGTCAGAATAGAAATAATTCTTAATGCCATATTGCCTTCGTTATGTTGTTTTTTTTTTCTCATTTCTTGTGCTGCAAAGACATTGCAGGTGAATATTAGAGGGGATTATTAATTGCAGGGGAATATTAGAGGGGATTATTAAACGGAAATTGATTAGAGGTGAATATTGAATATATTCCCCGATAAGAACAAAGCACCGAGCAGGGTGAAAAATAAGTTGTGTAGTCGAGAAAATCAAAGTTAAAGTTAGTATGTAAATCGAGGGAAATATATATCACATACAAAGATACGACACGCTAATGATTTTTATAATGAGTTTTTGAAGATTACTTCAAAAACTGCTAAGGGCCCATGACAGTTAGGGACCGCGCCAGCCACAGCCTATCGCCCAAAGAATTAGAAAACGTAAAAAATGTAGGTGAAGAATCAATGGGAAAATGCAAAATTAATAAGGTAGCTGATTTTTTTATTCCATCTCAAATAAAACAAAAGTTTAATTGTGTAAACGTTCTCTGGTTAAAAAAGATTTATTTATTAACAAGCTTTCGACTGCCAGTCTGCAGTCTTCGACGGGTATTATTATAAATCTACCCGTCGAAGACTGCAGACTGGCAGTCGAAAGCTTGTTAATAAATAAATCTTTTTTAACCAGAGAACGTTTACACAATTAATTATGAATCCTGGTTTCGCTTCCAACATTTTTAAAAAAAACAAAAGTTATTCTTAAAAGTTGTTACATGTGTTGGAGACTGTTATTGTTATTATAGACACAGAATTTTCCAGAACATTCTATAAATATTCAATATAAATATAATATCTCAGTCAAACAATGACAACAGTCAACAGCCCCCCCCCCCACACACCAAATATGCCCAAGGGCCCCCTCTTCCTTCGTTAAGTTGCAGAGCGCTTGCGCTCAATGGGTAACTTAGCACATGCGCTTGCAAAACCCATTCAGTGCGTACCTAATTAGACAACATTGAATTATTATCTAGAAGTTACGAGTGTTAAGTGAATCGTCCAAACGTGGTCCAAATTTCCATCGTTTACAAGCTCATAGCGATTGTTTTAGTGAAGTGATAGAACAATCAACGACTTTTTCGCGTTTGTTAAAACTCATCAAAGTAAGTACGACCTTCAAACATTTGCGCTTCATAATTGCAATTACTGTACTAGTACATCAACACATGAGTGGCCGGCTTAATTGCATTGGTCAGGCGTTGGTCAAGCACTTTTACCTTCACGCGCCCTGAAGGAATTGCTTCACGCGAACATACTCACCTTGTGGAAAACGGTTTTTAAATCAGGGCTACTTGAAAACTCTCAGTTTCTTTTCAATTTAGGACGAATACGACAGCTATCTGGCGTATATCTTAGAACAAAACAGAGTAACGCGACACCGCAGAGCGCTCTATTCTCAGATACCTTCCATCAGTAAAGCCAAGTCAGTCGCAGAGGCTGTGCGATTACAACAGATCAGACTTGAAAATCTCGAAAATGAAGTTAGGTTGCTGTTGAATGAGAATGATAGGTAAGGTTATAGCACTCTGGTTTTATGGCACAGGACCAAACACGGTAGAGTAGGACCCATTTGGCCCGCTTTCCCTAATACCACCTGATACGCATGACGGATAAAATCGTCTGGCGTTAGACAGAGCCAAATAATAATTAATAAAGTCGCCCCATCCATTGTTAATAGTGAGATCAGTGGTGAGATCAAATCAACGCATGCGCATCAGAAGTTCAGAACGACGCCATGTGAGATGTCGCCATATGTTTTTGAATGCCGAACAAATAGCTGACAAATTTTTTTAAGGTATGCGAAAATCTGTGCAATCTTTATATTTCTGAGTGTTTTCTTTGAGGATTCATTAAAGAAGTAAATAAGCTCTGATTTGCTGTATTTCTGGCGGAGTAAAGCGAAGACGAATGGTTTAAAATTTTAATAAATTTATTTCATCGAGTGAACAAGGCCTAATCTATGGATATTTTCAGGATTTGACATCAAGGTAGTCTTTGAACATTGATTGATTATCTAAGGGAACTACAACCTTCAATTCTGTGGCAAGTCGCTTTTAGAGTATCATAATTACTCCTGAACTGTTCACGAATACTGCTACATTAATAAAAACAAAATTGTATTAAACAAGGCAGCTTACGTTTGGTTCATTTATATTCAAGTAAAAATATGTCTCAATGTGATGTCTGTTATAAAACATTTCAATCTGCTTGCAACTTGGTCACGCATTACAGAATGCATACTGATGAGCGTCCATTCACGTGCAACATTTGCCAAAAAGGATTTCGCCAAAGAGGGCATTTGACGGACCATATTAAGTTGCATGGTGACGAAAAATCATATAAGTGTGAAATTTGTGGACGAGCTTTCAAGCAGTCATCTGGTTTGCGTAATCACAGATCACGATTTCACAGAACCTATGTACCAAAAAAGACTAAAAGCCGGTCGCGGACACCAAAACCTGACACAATCAGAAGTGCGGGTGTAAAGGCTGTGAGAGCATCGAGAGAGCGAACAGTTGACGTTGATGTGGAAAATTTACACAGGTGTGACATTTGTGATGAAACGTTTCTCACAGGGGCCAAATTGGGCAATCATATTGCTTGGCATGCCAGGAGAAAACGATACAAATGCATGGTCTGCAGACGTATTTTCAAGCATCTGTCGATCTTCAAGAAGCATCAGAAACTACACGAAAGAAATCAGAAAAAAAGCAGTAACAATCGAACACAACACACAAACATGTCTGATGTTCAAATTCAAGACCCTGGGAGAATCAAAGCCACAAGGGACAAGATAGGTGGACCTTTTTGTGAGACATGCCAAAAAAGCTTCAGTTGCAGGTTTTCGTTCAACCGGCATATAAAGGAATACCATGAGGGTTTGAAAAGAGCGAGGACTCTTACCAGATACGACGTAAAAAACAAAAAGTTCCGATGTAGTATATGCCAAAAGATGTTCTCAACCATTTATTCCCTCAGAGTACATCGTGAAAGAATTCATCCATCAAAAACACACAAATGCCATATCTGCAGCAAAACCTATGGACTTATAAATGATTTGAAAAATCATTACAAACAACATAATAATCTACATTTACCGTACAAATGCGACATTTGCGGGACGCCTTTTCAATATCAGTCACAACTGAAGGAACATTATATGGTCCACGCAAGGCAAAAGCAAGAACATTTGCAACTAAACGAGCAACTTCTGAGCAGTGGAAGTTCAGAAGGGCCACACGAATGTGATGTTTGTGGGAAGCATTTTCGATACCCATCGCGCCTGAGAGAACATCTGATTATTCATCAGAACGAACCCAGTATGCCAAATTCAGATTGGCCATACCAGTGCACTGTTTGCCAGAAGGTGTTCCGATATCCATCTCGATTGCAAGGACATTATAAAACCCATGCCAATGAAAAACAAGAAGATTCAGAGCCGCAGCAGGCACGACACCTGTGCACTATTTGTGGAAAGGCTTTTCAGTTTGCATCACATCTGAGGAGACATCAAACCACTCATTATAAACAACAAGAAGAACCTGCAAGCAATAACACTTTGTCGAAATACCCCCATGAATGTGACGCTTGTGGCAGGTTGTTTCAATATCCATCGCAGCTCAGAGAGCATTCTGTTGTTCACAGCGAGCAAGGAGAAACGTCGAACAGTAGACAATCGAAGCGGCCTTACCGTAAGAACCAAAACCAAGTGGCTTACCATCAGCCAAAACAAAACACTGCAGCTATTACACCACAATCTGAGTGTTACGAGTGTGACGTTTGTGGGAACACTTTTCAACATATGGCATTTCTAGCAAGACATTATGTTGTCCATGAAAGAGACTCTGGCAAGAAGCCATATTCGTGTGCTTACTGTGAACGATCATTTTGGCAGACAAACCACTTGAAGAGGCACTGTCAGGGACAACACAATACAGACAACATTTTCAAGTGCGAGGTCTGTTCGGTCGCTTTCAAGAAGAAAGTAGAGTTAAGAGATCATCTGTTAACTTGTCATGGCGGCACACAAGCAAAGAAGGATAGCAGTCAGAATGAGATTCCTGCCAAAAGAGGGTTGCAACGTGTGAAACGACACGTTGGTAGACCTCCAAAGAAGAGAAAGAAGCATTTTGGTACTAACACACATGCTACTCAAACTCTCAACACCGGTGGTTTGAAGTATACAGAAAACAGCGCTGATAATTCAGGCAAGAAACAGTACACTTTGACTACCAAGAAAAAAGTTCCCACGTGCAACATATGCGGTGCCAAATTCTCCAGCGCTAGTGGTCTAAGAATGCATCTTGATATACATTTCGATCGAAGACCGTATTCCTGTCGTTTCTGTGAAATGAAATTTAGGCAGCTTGGTCACTTGTCTTCTCATTGTAAAACCATACATCACGAGGAGTTCCCATACCAGTGCGAGTTGTGCGACATGCCTTTCAAAGGAACAGTTGCGTTTAAAACTCACCAGCAAATTGCTCATGGTTTAACTGAAAATCCAAATGAACTTGATGGTTTTGAGAAGTCCGCTCAGCCTAGATACAGCAACATCGATTTCGAACCGAAGAAATACACAAGAATTGTGCATTCTGGGCAAACCGAATATGCTTGTGGTTTTTGCGATGTATCTGCGAGGACATTCAAGTCTCTATCCGGTTTGCGCAGACATATTACTATAGTGCATACTTCAAATGTGAATCAACCAATCTCTGATGAAAATGCGAATTACCCTCAAGGAATGGTAACTATGCAACGAGAAATGGTAACTATGCCACGTGAAGAAAGCCCAGTGACGCTGAACACTGCGGAAGAAATTTATAAGTGTAACGTGTGCTCAGTAATCGTCCATGGATGGGACGCGTTAGAAGCGCACGAAAAAGCACATTCGAGAAGGAGTGTGAACAGTCCAAGTTCGACCGCACCCGTATTTGTCGCTTTTACCCCACCCACACCAAGTATCGAACAGACCTTCGAATGTACGTTCTGTGGAGCGGAGTTTGACGCGATGTCACGTGAGGCGTTCGATGAGCATCAGTTGCAACACGAACTCGTGGCAGAGAAACCAATGGGAATAGGGTACATCTGTGGTGAATGCGACCAAGAATTTGCCATGCTCGCTGATTTGGTAAATCATCATGAACAAGCTCACTGATTGTTGAAGAACAAGTGTTGCACAAGTAAAGGAAGATCCAAATAACATTGCTAAGACTTGAAGTATTTTAAGTATGAATTAAATAATCACGAGAAAAGAGAGTTTCCTAAACGCTCGACCTGGCAATGCGAGAAGACTATAAGAGTTTAGTTTCCTCCACTCTCGTCTCCTGTGGTTAAGCCAATGAAGCAGAACTCGCTTTGACTCTGATAAAATTGAAGACGGATAAATGTTAACATGAGTACACTGGTTGCAGCCAAAAGTCCATTTGCTGCACAGCCTCGACTTCATTTATGAATTTCCATTTTAATTTATTAAGTCTCACCAATCTCGTTCCCCGAGCCTGCGATCCTTGGGAAGGAACGCGAGTCTCTGGGATAATCCGTTTCAAGCAGGAATCTGATTGGTCGTTGAAATGGAATGCGTAGTTCAATCTTAGCCAGAATTCCTGGCTTCCGGCAACGCATTATCCCAGAGCCTCGCGTTCCTTCCCGAGGATCGCAGGCTCGGGGAACGAGATTGAAGTCTCACACAATATTAGCCATTTCTCAAAGTCTTGGGTCTAGTCGCGCAAATCCCATGTTGGAGGGACAAGAAATATGGCAGCACACATTTAAATTAAAAGTTTGATGTAAAAAGGAGATACTTCATTTTCGGTTGTCTAAAAAGTTGATATTTCATAGTAGATACTTCTACTCTTTCACATATTTGACGCCTGTCACCATCCATATATTTTGTCCCTCCAAACGATCCCAGAATGCACTGTGATCTCTTTTGGGAAAAGGCTAATTGAAAGTATCTGGATAGCTGCGTATTGCGTGAGATTCAACTCCCTGAAAATACAACTTCGGCTACTAACTCCAGACAAAGGGCCTTTGCTCAAAACTTCGATGTGCTGCTTGTGAAAAGCGACTTTCAAAAGTTGTAACTGTAAATTTTCCATTATACAAACAACTATAATACTAAAAAGTTGTATTTCGTGGTGCGGAGACTCTCAAGCGTGGGAGAGGCAGTACCCCCAAAATGGCGATAAAATGGGCCGTGAGAAAGGCTAATTGGTCAATATTTTGGGGTTACAAATACCAAACGTTGCATGAGTAAACATGTGTTATAGTTAATAGAATTTTAATTAAACACAACACAATTAACAGAGACCCCGTGAATTGTGTATTCTCGGAGTTTTATTGGTTTGTGTTTAATTACTGTCGTTCCAATTGAAGTGTTCCTCAAATTTTGATTCAATACATTAATACCTCGGGCTGACCAATTCATACGAATTCAAATTTATTTTTACTTCCTGTGCGTTTCCTATTGGTCAATCGGTTCTGAAACGAAATCTAATTGGCTCATTTAAAAGTAACAGGAAGTTGATTTTCTATCAAATGAATTGGTCAACCCGAGGTAATGTATCGAATCAATATTTGAGGAACACTTCAATTGGAACGACAGTAAAATACTCTATGGTAGTTTTCAGTTAAGAGAAACGAGACTTAGTTCTGGTTAGAAAAGAAGGGATATTTACTGTACATATTTTTGCACTGCTCACATTTATATATTCTTCATAACAGTTACATTATTTTATTGGCAATTAATATATCTTGCAAATTATTAAAAACAAAATTGATCCAAAAACTTGCTTGACTATTTATCTCTTGCAAATAACTTTATAATAAGACCCCTATGCCTATTGTCATGATCATATTTTCTTGCTATATGTGTAGATTACGAGCGAATACAGGGAAAGAGGTAGAACTAGAAATTCCTATTGCAGCTCCTTCTGTACATTGCTCAGGTAAATAAATCTATAAAAGCATCGCTCCATTACTTTGCTAGCATATTAGTTAGAGGACGTCTCTGCCTCTGGGCCAAGGATTTAATTCCTATTATGTGGTTTTGTCTGGTTAAATTTCACCTCGGCGTGTGTGAGAAGAGTGCTTCTAGACTAGTTTGACTCTACCAAACTCTACTGGTTTTGGAAACCAGACATCCAGCTACTCTGGTGTGATACTGTATTGCTGTAGAAACACTGGACCAATAAAGGAGGAGACGTAAGAAGACCAGAATGAAGAACAGGTACATTCAGAGTTAGTACGGGTCCTTAAAAACGATGAAAATCCTCAAATTTCATTTTGAAAAATTGAGTATTTAATTTTTTTTTAATCTGCATATAGTTCACGAAAAGTCCAATAATTAATGAAAGTCGTACAGTAATTAATGTGAGTGACTTACATGAAGTCTTTTTTAACCTGCAGAACACAGTGGTTTACAAACTCGTGTCCATGTTGAAGCTGTGGCGAAAGATCTACAGGAACAGGTCGAGGACCTTCATTCTGAGATCGCGCATGAATTGGAGACCCTGGATGAAATGAGAAAATACCAGCGAGAGAATTGCGTACCGTCTTCTGTCTGTCAACATTTTGAACAGTGTATCAAAGAAACTGAGGTAATGAATTAAGATGTGCTGAATTTGTACACGTTTAGTGCATATGACAGGATTATGCAGTGATTGTTAACTCTGAAAAAAAATTTCATATTTCGTTTTGTCGTTCAGGTTGACATCCAAAAAATGTTAAAACAAAATGAATTTTTGGAACAGAGTATTGAGGTATGTCAAGTAAATGGCAAATTTAAATTATATTTTTGGTGAACATGAAAAGTCGAATCCAATTTGAATTGGTGTGTTTTCAAATCATAGATAATTTTTAACAATTGTTTAGGAATTGGAAGAAGAATTAGCCATGATTTTGTCTCAACATGGTGTGACTGAGAAAGATTCCAAGTAAGATTTCAAATTTCACGAAATTGGAGTTCTTTTCCGTGAATTCTTGTATGTATTCTTGTCATGCGGTTTCACAGCAAGTATCAAGAAAACAACTTTCAAATTCGTTCAAATCAGTTTAAGGATAATATAAACAATATTTTAAGATTTTTTCCATTTCGCGTTCGTTTATAGGAGACTGTGGAAGAAAGTGAATTTATCAAAAGTTCTAGAATACGGAAGATCACAGAAACAGTAAATATATGTTCCCAGAATTTGTTGTACATATGTAAATTATAGAATTGAAGTATATGTATTAAAAGTTGAAATATCTAATATCTGTCTTTTCGTTGTCTTTGAACGTACAGAATTTTCTGCGGTTTGTTTTCGACCCCCCAATTCCTGTAAACAACTATTGTTCCACTCAATCCTTCCTTTCACCAACTCTCACTCCGATTGCGTTCAGTACATTCGTATTTGCGCAAAGTTATGTGAAATGCGCGCAAAAATCCGTATTATTTGCGTAATCTTCTATGGGCAAGCTGAAACAAGCTCGACGTCGCAGTCACGCGTGGTGCGTGGACTTCCTCCACATTTCCTCGCGCAACAACGTGGTGAAATTTGACTGGTTGTCAATTTCAAAGCCAAGAACCACCGGGGAAAACTGTCATGAAATTATCCAAATTTCAGCTGCTTTTTGTTTAATTTTATATTTGTAATCTATCGTAACTTTTTTTTACCATGCTATTGAGATTGCAGTGTGTTTTATGCGTTCTTGCAACGGTAAGTTTTGAAATTATTGTTGGGACACGTCGTTTGTTTATACGCTTTCCCTTGTGTTCTACATGGCGTTTTGTTGTGCTACAAACGTGTTTACTTTTACAATTTTTAGACACGTTTGTTTCTGCGAACTGTTTGCGATGCAAGTGTCGTTGATTTAACCCATAACAATGTAGACGCCGAGCTGGGTTAGTAGAAGTATTTTTTGTCGATATTTCTAAAATTCTGTACAAGCTAGCGTCCTGACAAATTTATGAATAATTTTTGTTGTCAATTTGCAACCAATTTTGTATTCTTGCTAACTTTTACCCATTTATATTTTCAGGTAAGGCCAAGGTCACATTTGTGAATTTCTACGCCGATTGGTAAGCCATTAAACGTATTTTAGTTGTACATTTAATGCAACTTTTATACATTTTAAAATATAAAAGCTCTTGTCTTGAAAAGCTCAAGTTACCCGCTTCGTACGTATTTAACCAGTTGTGATGTCACTCAATTTAATAAAAAATATTTAATTTAAACGAGTATATATTAGTGATATTTTGCTTTAATAATTCTAAATTTAAAGCACCCTTTGGAGAGCAGCTTGCATAATTAAAAAGCATTTTGTTTCTAATCTTTCTACTCCATATGAGATTCAATACAATAATTCATAAATAATTTATTGCGGTACATGCTATATTAAAGTCATTTGTATAATAATTGTATGTCGGTAAATATGGCAGTGTCTGGCAACCAGTAATTAGGGTAAAAATTTGTGAATCTAACTATGTTTTCCTTTTAATATTACCAAAATTCTTGTTGACATGGGGGGGGGGGGAGTTGTAAAATTTTTGGAAAGGGTTAAAAATTTTTGGAAGGACTAGGGATTTAAATCCCGCATATTCCAGTGAGGTTATATTGGGTCATTCCAAAAAACATCCACAGCTCCCCCACAGAGGAAATTGGAATTTAACCCTTCTCCCCTCCTACTCCAGGTATCACAAATTTCCAAACCCAGAATGCATCCTACTAGTAACACAGAAATCCTAATGTTATCAATGTTTTCCATATGTCTTATCTCTAACAGGTGCAGATTTAGTCAGATGTTGAAACCCACATTTGAACAGACTGCGAATATTCTAAAAGAAGAATTTCCTGTACGTTGTAACACATGTTGCTCTTTCTATATGCTGCTAACCTGAGTATCAGGCCGTACTTTGTAGGGCACAGGCACGCCTGATCGTGGGCGAAGGGGAGAAAAGTACGGCCTGACACAAAAGTGGCATTTTGCCTGGTTGTTCAGTCCAGAATCTGGACTGAGCGCTGATTGGCCGATTAGACAAACGATTTTTAAATCTATCATTTGATTGGCTGGTGCTAATTAGATTATACTATTGTTGTTGATATATTTTATAACGATCACAATTCACAACTACAATTATAGCCGGCCCACTAAACGGTTGAATTTAAATTAAAACTGCAGTAAAATTAGAAAATAATCGCAAATTGGCGAAATATATTGCAAATGTAGCTTATATTAAATCGCCATCAGATTGCACTATCGACTGACGTATAGTTATAAAGTATACTTTACAATTATACGTCAGTTTGTTGATAAATACGGCAAGCGCCATGTAAAGCTCATTGTAGTCACTGAAACCTCTGCGGAGGAGAGAGCAATCGGGTGGCGATTTAATATAAGCTACATTTGCAATATATTTTGCTAATTTGTGATTATTTTTGTTAATTTTATAAGTTCATTGCAGTTTTAATTTAAATTCAGCCGTTTAGTGGGCTGCCTATGCTATAATTAGATTGTTGTTGTCGTTGTGTGAAATTTAAATGTCTCCGGCGACATTTTGATTGGATACTAAATATAAACTTTGCTGTGGGCGGAAAGCGATCAGGTTAAGTTTTGTGTCAGGCTCTATTTGTAAAATAGAGCCTGATACTCAGGTTAATATGCTGCTAAATTATTCTATATGTGATCTTGACTTTAACCCTTTAAGTGGCAATGCTCCCTGATGCGCCCTCATTTGGTATTTTACTCTAATGCCAGACGATTTTACTCTTCAAGTGGAGAGTGCTGCCACTCATTGGGTTAACCAAAAAATCTGACAATGCCTCTAGTTAACCCATTGAGCCGCAAGGCGCCCCAGTGTGCCCTACTTATTTTTTACTTGTCTAACACCAGATGATTTTACTTGTTAATGGGGAAGCTCTGCAGCTTAATGGGTTTGGTGGCAGTGTACACTGGTGCGCCCTGCTTAATTAGTATTTTACTCTGTCTAACGCCAAACGATTTTACTCGTCAAGTGCAGATTGAGTGCTGCCACTCAATGGGTTAACTTTAATGTTCACATTTTGTAAAAGTTGTTTTATTGTTTCAGAATGATTTAGTATTAGCAAGAATAGACTGCGAAAATCAACAAGATGTCTGTCAGAGATATAGCGTCAGTAAATATCCAACACTGAAAATATTCAGAAATGGACAGGTAGATAATTGTACAGTTTCATTATGACGAACGAGCTTTTGTCGATAGGGATGCAACTACCTGAAAATATATAAGGAGAATTTTGAGCAAAGGCCTGTCGTCCGTACTCCAGACAAAGGCCTTCGCTCGAAAACGTCGAAATTCTCCTTATATATGTTCAGGTACAGTAGTTGCATCCCTAGGCCTGAAAAAAATACCTGTGGTTCCGGTTCCCGACCGACCCTATTTTTTCTGCCAACCCTATTATTTTTTCAACGTGATTGACCGTGCAACCCTATGGAAAATATCTCGCTGTGTATTTTTCAGTATCTCACTCTACTATATAATAAAAATACTGGTATCTTCTATTTTAGGTGACGAAACGAGAATTTCGAGGTCAGCGAACTGTCGATGGTCTCTCTAAGTTCTGCCGTGATCAATTGACAGATAGAATCCATGAGTTTCATGCATCTCAAGATTTAAATATAGAAGTATGTACATCATGCAAACATATATATGGTTTTGTTTCATACGTTTGTTTCATAGTTTTAAAATTTTGAAAACAGTGCTCTTTGAAGACGGGAGCCTTTTTAGTACCATGCAGAATTACATTAATTTATGTTTTCATTCATTACAGCAATCTAAAAGAAATGTGATTGGTTATTTTGATTCAAAGGAGAGTGAGAATTATAAAGCTTTTGAAAAGGTTGGTGCTTGAGCTATCATACAGTTGCCCCTGCTGCTCCCCCCCAGGGTGTTAGCTAGGCGGCCGTCCGACCGTCCTATGGACGGCCACTTCTGAATTCGGACGCCTAAATTTTAATGGATGGCCATGGACGGCCTAAGGGAATATTTTCTTTAAATAGCAATTTACAAGCTTTGTAATATTTCTTGAATACTTCGAATTGTTGTCATCTGCTGTTTACTTTACTTATGGTATATGTTTTCATACTTTTTCCCATCGAAATCCCGTTGAATATGGCTGAATTCCACAACAACAAAAAATTGCGGCCACGCCCAAAAACATGTGACCACGCCCACAAAATTATTTTGGACGGCCACTTTTGAAATCCTGGCTAACACCCTGCTCCCCCCCACCCACTGTGTATGGCCCTGACAACTTCAGACTGGCCACCTCCATAAAAGTAAAATCTTCAGGCATGTCACTTGGTCTGTACTTATTTTGTTCCATCTCTCATTCTTTGATTTTCTCTTCCATTTTAGCTGGCTGACCAAATGAGAGATGACTGTGAGTTTCATGTTGGATTTGGGTAGGTCACATTTGTCTTGTGGAAACTTTTGGAGATAATGCATGTCACACACGAAATATTAGAACTCCTATGAAGCAAAGAGGAAATTTTAAAGCCCATTGTATTAATTCTATTACTTTACGTTTCAGTGATGCATCGGCAAAGGAACGAGAAAATGGTGACAAAGTTGTGTTTAAGACAAATGTAAGTTTCTGCATTTCTTGGCATTTTGATAAAGTGGACTTTTCAATTCAGCCAATGATGGTCAGCTTCATGCAGAACTCTTGACATCTCTTAATTCAATCAATTTCCATCCAAATGCATGAAAAGATACTTTTCATTCTTCTTCATTCTCGTAACCGCCAGTCGACCGCTATCTGGGGCCAGTTGTTCGAAGCCTAACCGTACGTTTTGACCTAAAATTCAAACCGCTTGTTTATAAATTTGGGAATATTTCTTTAGAAATCTTGCAGGCCTTAAAATATCTTTTCCAGGACCGTCTGACAAAGTGTCCGGTGACGTTGAGTTTGGGTCGGACATATGTCCGATGACCTTCAGTTCATTTTTGACTCGGAAATAAGTCTGAATGACACAAATGAATAAAAATGAATAAACGGTAAATGTTGTAAAGATATTAAATAATTTGTTTCTTTCATACTTATTTCCAAGCCAAAATGAACTTGCTTTGCCAGAACAGCAGTATCAAAAAGACTTCGACAACTTAAGCCCGTTTTCCACTTCACCATTTCGCTCGCCGCCCCGCGCTCGACTA